GGTTGTAATGGCATGCCACAAATCATAAACATCAATTTTCATGACCATCGTATTTCTAGATGTTCTAGTTATAATATTGAAAATCAAGTATGCAATGTAAGTTTCAAAAGAAAAAAAAAACTATGTAAAAGGTTATCACCAAAATTTTGCATGGAACGATCTTTGATTTTCCAATTATATAGTTACTACAAGATATTTATCTATGATGGCCAGATATAATCTTCAACTGAAATATTAGATAATTTAAATACAACTAATTTTTAAAATAAGTGTTATAAGTATTTTTTAAACTTAAGCATGAAATGATAGACACGGTAGAGTGGCACTCCAACTAAGTTAGTTGGTATCACCAAAATAAAGGTTGTTCATAGCATCCATTTCTCGCTTGAATTCAACCATTGCCTCTCTCGGTAACTTCATGACCACTTTAACTCCACCTTCCATTGATGGATCCAGTTTCGAAGGTTTCAAGATCATCCCTACGTACACTGGACTCCCCTGCTGGGTTAATGGCCGCAGATTCACAGGCTCATCCCAACCAAAATTCATTGATCCGAACCAACCAATATTCCTCCAATCCGTCAAGAACAATAAACCGTCGCTTACCCCTTCGAATGTTGCATCCCCTCTCATCAATCTCTCAGTGTTCTTTAGCTCTTCCTCGAGATACTTCTTTTCATAGGCTGTTTTCTTGGCTTTCTTCACATGCTTCGCGATGTCGGTGATTGATGCTTCTTCGAGTTCTCTCACAGTCAGCTCGACGTAGACGTCTATGTACGCGTTACCATAGTATCCTTGAGGAAGTGGCGGGTCCAAAACATGTCGGATTCCAACAGCTACGCCAAGGACAGTGATCCCGTCAGGGTTTAGCTTTAGGGCTCGAGATCTTAGTTTCCATACGTAAGAACTAATTACTTCATAAGTAGTGAAACTATCTTTAGGGAACTCGCACTCTCTCATCAAACAGTCTTTAAGCCTCTTTATATTCCCAGCCGGAATGTTTATTATCTCCGTGACCTATTTGATGATAAATAAAATGAGGTCATTTAGCTAAAATATTTATTCTTTCTATATAATTACAAGCAATATATTAACACTGAACATGTAGTCCTTCGCGTAAATCTTGTAAACATCAATGATCAATCATCTCATTAATTATCTTTAGCCTTTTTTAATTTCGATAATACTAACAAAAATATACAGGATTACAAACCCCATATTAAAATTAAATAAAAAACAAAAATAGTTGGAGATAATTAGATGAAAAACATACGATATCAGTAGTTGGCATATATGGTGAGGTGGCCAAAAGACTAGCAATGTGGCCGCCGGGAACTTTGGCCGGTTCATTGTCAAATTTTCCGACCAGCCGCTCTCTCTGCCACACTGGTTTCACTGATGGCTCGGTCTTTCCTCCAGCCAACTCGGTTAAGGCATGAATGATCTGAGCCACACCGTATCCATCACACACAGCGTGTGTCAATGCGGTTCCAATGGTGAATCCCCCGCATGCAAACTTGGTCACCTTCATAAAAATCAAAGGGAACACAATCTATATGTGTGATCTATATTACGATGAAAGCTAAACTCCGAAGAGTTTATTGAGATGATCTAATTTTTTTGAAAATGAAATCACTAACATTTCGATATCTAGAACTTTTCAATACGTAAAGAAAATGAAAAGGTACCTGCAATGCTAGAGGATGATAACAAACGTTGTTATCATAGTCTATTTCGATTTCAGGCACAAGGCGCAAAGCAACTTGTTCATCGAGGTTTTCTATATAGTTTAGAGAGGAGAGGCTGAGAGATGCTGTTGCGACTTCAAATGGAACTCCCTCACCTAGACAAACCAACTTAAGCTTTCGATCACTTTCTCGTCTCATTAGCTTGCCTGAAAGGGGATAGTAATACACAAGAAGTTCGGACAAAGCCTTCCTAAGCAGAGCGACAGGATCCTTCAGGTTCTTTTCATTGGCTTTGAAAACGTAAATCGTTGCGTACATAACTTCATTGAGAAGATCGCTGTCTAAGGTAGAAAGGGTGAGAGTTTCACAATGAGTGTGTTTTGAGGGTTTAACAAACTCAAGTGGTTTCTTTTCAAGTAATAGGGAAAGGATTGGTGTTATTTGCTTTGCCATCTCTTACCAAGTTTAGAATCTACAATGTAAGATGTTCTCTTGCTTCTCGATGCTGTTTATATATATAGTGAAGTGTCAGAACTTCTGCAACTCGTTTCCTTTAGGGTCGGGCTGGGTTTTTTAACCCACGGCAACGTTCCTAGTCGTCTTACCTTTTTTTTTAATTAATAGTAGCCCCATGCAAGG